CTTAACGCTTTATTGGATATTATTTAAAATATAAATAAATATAGAATTTTTTCTTCAATACCTTTTAATGCAAGAAGTTTTCACTGCAATTTTGATTCAATAAACATCTTACTTAAATCCTAAAATTTTAATTTTGACTTAATTTCAATCTCTGAGAGCTGGCTTAAGCATGACAGTCCACTTATTCAAATTCTCAATTACCCAATTGCTAAACACAGGCAGTTAAAAGCTGGTGGTGGTGCGGCTATGTTTATTCCTACTACTTACTTTCAAAGAAAGACATGATTTATTTATTGATCAATCCATATGCGACTCATTGTTTATTGAAATTGAGCAAAAGTCAATGAAAAATATTGTTGTTGGTACAATACCGAGCCCCTTCTTTAGATCCAAATAGTTTTTTAAAAAAGATTGAATTAATACTAATTAATCCAGCAAGTGAAAGTAAAATTGTTTTTCTTCTGGGTGGTTTTAATATTGACCTTCTTAAATATGATTCCAATAATCACGCCTACAATCTTATAAATTCTTTGTTTAGTAATTCCTACCTGCCCCTTATCCATCGTCCTTATGCTTTATCAGGAGTATTCCCTGATAAATTAAAACTTGCCAAAATCACTCCTATTTTTAAATCTGGGGACAAAACAGACATTAATTATTATCGTCCTATTTCCATACTTTCTGTTTTTTATAAAACCTTTGAACGTATTATCTATGACAGGACGTATCTATTGATTCAAAAACACAAAATTCCCTCCAATGATCAATAGGGATATGATAATTCAATGGCCCTTCTGCAACTGACAAATAACATTGTGGATGCTTTCGAAAGCAATGAATTTGCCATTGGTACTTTCATTGATCTCTCAAATGCTTTTGATACCATTTGACCATTCAAACTTCACAATTATGGTATTTGAGGAATCACAAACAAGCTTTTTAAAAGTTACCTTTTAAACAGACTCCAATGGACTAAATATAATAACACTTTCTCTCAGTTTCTTCCAATCTCACATGGAGTCCCCCAAGGTTCTTTTGTTTTCCCTATATATTAATGACATAAACACGTCCTCCAATCAACTTTCATTGTTTCTTTATGCAGATGACACTACTGCTCTCTATACTAATAAAGATATTCAGACACTTGTTGATGTTGTTAATCAAGAACTTACTAATGTTTTCAATTATTTTTCTGCTAACAAACTCGCTATAAATATTTAAAAATGCTCTGCAATTACACTAACCCAAACTATGGAACAATCTAAATGACCACATAAAAAACTGTGAATCGAAGAAAAGCTTTTCCTTAAATCTTAAGAATCACTTAATTTCTAGTTATAATAAATTAAAACCCAAATAAATTTTCGTCCTCTGTAGACGATCAGTTTTGTCGTTTTTTGTCTCTTTTTTTGTCCTTTTCGTCTTGTAACCCGTCTTCTGTCTCCTGTTATTGTTTAGATCTTAATTATTTATTCGTATTATTGTAACTTGTTGAATTTTTACTTGTTTTCGGGCTTGCCTCACACAAGCACTTGCTTTTTTGGCTATGCCCTCTTTAACTATGTTTTATTCTCATCTCATAATTGTTTATATTGTACTTTTGATTATGAAGAAATGAATGTTTATTTGAATGATTGAATGAATAACTTATTTTTTACTATTTGAGCTTCCTGGCTTATATTAAGCATAGAATTCATAAATTTACATTATAATTATCTAGCAAAAACATCCAAATTGTGTTTCTTATAAATTAAAATTTGTTTTCTACATAATTCAAAATTACAATAAGCGTAACGTCAGTTACCAACTGGCCATTATATAATGTTAATATCTCCCAAAAAATATAATAAATTTGTAATAATTAACCGTGTAATTCTAGTATACTAATGCAGTATTTCATAGCATACAACTCAAGTTTTGTTTGTCTCTCGAACATGAGATATCAAAATTTGTTTTAATTCCTAGTTTTTGTTACATAACTCATATCCTCCGCTAAATCCACAAATGGTAAAAAGTTTTAATTGATATTCCTGTATTCCACTCCCTTATTACTACCATGTAGCATTAAAAATATAATTTGGTCTCTCATATTTTTGTTAGAGTAAAAATGTGAATGTAAGATGAAATGTAACGTCAGTTACCGTGGAATAGCCCGGTTTCAGAAAAATATAAACTTATCTCTGAAATAATTGCATGTTTTTGACAAACAAAGCTTTCAGCAATAAATTCTCTCACTTTGCATAGTCAAAAAAAATTGGTTTGATGACAAGTTTAGAGAAGAAAATGTGAACTACATCATCAATTGTTTTGGGACATAGAGAAAAAATAATTACGACCTCTGCTGCCAAAACTATAGAGCCCGGGCTTTGCAGATAGTTAAGTTGCTGCCAGAAAATGAAAGCGGTGCCATAATATTGCGCTCAATGGCCGATAGTCACATACCTAAATATTGTTCACAAAATATGATATT